CGCCTGCATGGGAAGGGCAGAGATGCTGGTGAGCGGGGTCTGCAGCCCAGCCAGTTTTCCTCTCACCCCTCTAGGGGGCTCCTGGCAGACAGGTTCAGACAGTGCACACTGAAGATGCGCCACAGGACAAAAGCGCTCTCTCCCTCACCCCGTTTTTCAAAACAGGGTTTCTCTGTGTAGCCTTGGCTGTCCTGGACCTCAGACACCCACCTGCCTCTGCCTCCTGAGAGCTGGGATTAAAGGTGTGCGCCACCAATGACCCAAACTCTCTCTCTTTTTAAAAACAAGGTCTTGTTCCAGGACATCTAGGGATGTTACACAGAGCAACCCTGTCTCGGAGGAAAAAAGAAACCAACAAACAAACAAAAATAAGGTCTTACTATGTAGCCCTGGCTAGCCTCAAACTCAGAAATCTGCATGAAGTGTGCACCACCTCACCCAGACCAGTGTCTTCTTCCCCCCTAAATGTGCTGGTATTGCTGCGGGGGCGGGGTCTGAAATCTGGTTCAGTTAGTGAAAAGGGAGCAAAGGGGTCTGCATGGGGTAGCTGACAGCCTGGGGTAGATAGGGAGCTCCATGAAGGTAGGCTCTGCCCTGGGGGCCAGAGAACAGTGAGTGGACAGTGTCAGCTGAGGGCGGCCGTGAGGTGTGGGCAGCCTAGCTGACAGCAGGCTTCTGGAGTCAGGCCCTCCTGTTCCATTGGTGGTTCTAGCACATTCTTTGTCCTGCCTGCAAAACAAGGAGAGGGCCCAAGCCCCCGGCCCCTCCTGCTGCAGCCCTCCCATCGAGGTGCTGGCTGGTGGCTTTGGCCCCTTCTCCACCTCTCACTGGGATGCAAAGGGAGCTGTGCAATAGCCCGACAATTAAGATCATCCACAGACTACTCTCCCACACAGTCCTTAGCCCCGAGACCGCTCTAGAGATGAGGATGCTGGCATCCACATGTAGGGGCAGATGACACCAAAGTTTAGAGCTGACTCGGCCAATGCTACCTTCACACACACTTGTCACATACTCACCCAGTGTTGAGCCAGCCCCTGGTGGCCCATGAGGGGCGGGCCAGGGCCTGGGCCTAAGCCCTCCACAGCTGACATTCCTCCCCTCCCTGGGGCAGGTCTGAACGGGATGAACAGCAGCATCTGGGAGCATTTTGCCTCTGGAAGCTTCTCCCCAGGCACTTCCCCTGCCTTCCTATCAGGGCCAGGGGCTGCTGAGCTGGCCCGGCTTCGGCAAGAGCTAGATGAAGCTAACGGCACCATCAAGCAGTGGGAGGAGTCCTGGAAGCAGGCCAAGCAGGTACTGGGCCCCACGCCCACCTGCAGTACCCAGCGCCTGGTGGCATCAAGCCCAAACCCATCCTACACGGCAGGCGTTCGGGTGGGGGAAGCAGGGGTCTAAAGAACAGAACAAAACTGCTTGCCCTCCCTCACGTGGGAGGACTGGCCTTGCCAGTTGGATGTTACAGTGGCTGGCACCACAGGCCTGGGACTCCACATGGGAATTGTTTTTAGAGTGGCCCCAGGATCTCCTGCCTGTCTCTGCTTCTAGATTCTGAGCTAGGCCGTCTGTCCAGCTGCCATGGCGGGACAGGCTAGGATGTGAGCCCGGCCTTGTGCTCCTGTCATGCTGGGCCTGGCCCCTTCCCTGCATACAAAGGGAGGGTCTGCTGAGGCCCTGAAACCTTTCTTCTCCGCAGGCAGCAGCAGCCTTCTCTCTGCCCCCTCCCCAGACAGCAGGCCCAGCTTCCTAGCAGGCCCCGTAGCCAGAGTGGTCCACACCGGCTCCTGGAGATGCTCTCTGGGAGGGGGAGGGCGGGAGACAGGGGCAGGGGGCCATCGTGATGAAGCACTGCATATTGGGCCCACAGGCTTGTGATGCCTGGAAGAAGGAAGCCGAGGAGGCAGGTGAGCGAGCCAGCGCAGCCGGGGCGGAGTGTGAGCTGGCCCGCGAGCAGCGGGATGCGCTGGAGCTGCGCGTGAAGAAGCTGCAGGAGGAGCTGGAGCGGCTGCACACGGGCCCCGAAGCCCTGCCTGCCGCCCCCGACCTGGAGGCGCTCTCCCTCTCCACCCTGTACTCCCTCCAGAAGCAGCTGCGCGTCCACCTGGAGCAAGTAGACAAGGTCAGCCCTAGGGGCCAGGGGCGTGGGGCGGGGCACGGTCCTGTGTCTCAGTGCTTGGACATCCGTGAAAGCCCGGTGCTAGGCTGGTGATGGGTTCGTGACTAGGATGGGGAGGGAATGCCCTCGTGGAGAGCGAGACAGCAGTAGTGTCGGGGCAGTGTCCACTCCAGTGCTAGAAACCTAAGCTTAGTCGAGTGCCTTCTCTGGTTCTCCAGTAGACATTCCAGAGTGGTCAGAGTGCCTGCTGGTCCCTGATGGCTTGCCTAATAGAAGCCGTGGGTTTTTTTTTTCTTTAAGAGTCCTTCAGCGATCAGTTCCTTTGGAGTGACCTCTGAGCCTCATTGGTCTTTCTTGGGTGCCTGGGATAAGATCACATATGACAAGAGGCATTAGCCTCTGTCCCAACAAAAATCCTGAATGACGGGAGCTGCTACCCACCTGCCCCTCTACCAGGCCTTTAGGGCTGGGAGTTGGGAGCTGAGCGGTTCCGTCTCACACGCTGGTAGATCTTGTGAGTGCTGCGCTCCGGGCCTCAGCTGCTCCTCCAGGGATGCTGAAGCGAGAGTCAGGGGAGCTGCTGCTCTCGGCTCAAGGCTAAGCAGGTGGCAGACACCGCTCCATACTTAATGTCATACTCCCCGCAGGCCGTGTTCCACATGCAGTCGGTGAAATGCCTTAAGTGTCAGGAGCAGACCCGGGCAGTGCTGCCGTGCCAACATGCTGTGCTGTGCGAGCTCTGTGCCGAGGGCAGCGAGTGCCCTGTCTGCCAGCCGGGCCGGGCCCATGCCCTCCAGTCGTGACCCTGCAGCCCTGGCCCCGCTGGGCCCAGACCTTTTCACCTAGGACTTTTTAAAGTATATATATGTATGTATGTATGTATGTACGTATGTATGTATATGTATATGATTATGTACATGTATACATCTCTGTCTGCGGGTGTGTGTGGTGCCAGCGTGTGCAGTGTCTGTGTGTATATCTGGACATAGATATAGACACACACTTTAAACAGACTTACCAAGCACTTTTTAAAGAAAAGACTATTTTGCAGTCCTCTCCTGCCCTCCCCAGCCTCCCTGCTCAGAGACAAGAGTCCCTCTTTTCCCACTGGCCTTTTGGCAGCGAGGATGGTTTTGTCTCTTTTTTTATGTAAGAACTAACTATTTTTAACTTCTTCCTGGGGCCAGAGCAGGGGAGACGGGAGGCTGAGAGGACAGGCTCCGTTTGTTCACCTGTATTCCGGGCTGGGGTCTGTGCTGCAGCGTGGACTCGGGTCCCCAGTTGCCAGCTGTGAGGGCTTCAGGGAGGCCTGAGACTCTTAAGCCAGCCTAGCGCCTGGGTTTACCAAATATGTATGTATTTAACCCTGGGGACAGCCACAGAGCGACAGGCCAAAGCTACAGGTTAGCCCATTCCCATCCCTGGGCCGTGAAAGCCCCTCAAGGGTCAAGACCTAGTTCTGCCTGGCCTGATCCCTGGGGATCTTGAAGCCTGGGCTTCTTGATTTCTCCTGGGATCTCCAGGTCAGCCTCCTTGGCCCCAGTCACCTGTCCCTCCCTCCTTCCCTCTGGCACATGGCTGTAGGGCCGACGGCTCCCTCCCTCAGGCAGCTAGCAGGCGATTGTTGGGAGGAGTGCAGTCCAGGACCAAGGGGGCTCAAGGCCGCCCCTCCTGCCTGCGGGGAGGAGTCATATGCATTCCTTGGTGCTCTCTGAGTGCAGCTGACGTACTGCCATTCTGGGCAGACGCCTGTGTGCATGTGTGTGTGCCTGTCCAATGTACATTGTGTTTAGCTCCAATTTTAAAAATTGTTATGTACAGAGATGCGGTGGGATGGGAAAGCAGAGCGGGCAGAGGGAGGCAACCCTGCTCCCAGCATTGGGTGTCCAGTGGGCTATAGAGGGCTACAAAATCTGCCCCAGCCCAGGCCCCTCCCTTGGGCTCAGCACGAAAGGGCTTTCAATGAATTAAGTGAAAACTTTCTCCTTTTTTACAAAAATGCAAAAATCAACAAACTTATTGAAATAAAGTATGAACTTGCAGTGGCTCGTTTATGTGTGGGAAGGGCAGACGATGAAGGCATCTTGATGTCAGGCGAGCAAGAGCCCTGCCTTGGCCCATGGGAACAACTAGCGCTCACCCACATCCTGCAGTGTGGAGAGGCTGAAGAGACCTAACATCTATCCAGGTCCCTGAGCCCGCGAGGGTGGGATCATCGCTGTGGAGAATGTTGTTAGCCTTAGACCCTGACCTCCCAGGCCCTGTGACTCCTATCCGGGGTTCTGTAATGTGCTGTGGTGGAAGCCCGTGCCTGCCTCCCTCACACTGAGGAAGTATCTGCCTCAGATAACAAACCCTCCTACCCTGTTCCCCACACCCGAGCGGGGTGCATGGCCTAGTCTCTGAGAGCTCCGACTTGCAAGCATGCACAGACTAACTTTGCCAGGGTCAAGTTTGAAGACCTCCAGGCCTGAAGCTCTACATGCCCAGGTTCAGGAGACCCTCCACACACACTCTGCTGTGCAGAGCAGCTGCTCAGCGCCATGGTCCCCCAACACCACATCCCTGTCGTGGGTAGCAATCAAAGTAACTGCCAGGTAAAATGTGTTCAGAGTCACGGCTGAGGGCCTACAATGCAAGGTGGTTCAGCCGGTGATCGTGCACGGCACACACGTCAGGAAGCCTGAGAGAGATCCTGGAACCCGAGGAAGGAGAGCCCCGACTCCTGACACACACAGCTCACACTACTCCAGGACCAGCCTCCGCTCAGTGACCTCTGGGTGTGTGTGGGGTCACAGCACTGGGCGGCGTGGGGTGAGGGAGGAGGCAGGCATGCAGGGCCTGACATCTTCCTGGGCCCACTGTGAACCAACTATAGACTTTCTGAGGGCAGTAGATAGTGGTTTATTTTTATTTTCACTGAGAACATTTCTAGGTGGCAGATGTTATCTGAGGGAGGAAGCCTACTCTAGACAGCCAGACTGTCCTTTCGGCTGCCATCCATCTGTGCCAGCTCTCACCTCAGCCAGAGTCTTCCCACCTCCCCTCCCCCTAGTAATGGCCACCCGGCTCCTGCACCAGGGCAATTCTGACAGGATCCTCTGTCTAAAGTCTGACAGTTCTGGAAGGCAGGTAGCTCTAGATGATACCTTTGGGGGCGGGGGAGCAGGGACAGGAGACGCTCCTCTGTGCTGGACTATGGCAGAGAACACAGACCAGGGCAAGAGGGAAGGACAAGAAATGATAAATACTGCCAGGTGGTGGTGGCGCACGCCTTTAATCCCAGCACTCAGGAGGCAGAGGCAGGCGGATCTCTGAGTTCGAGGCCAGGCTGGTATACATAGTGAGTTCCAGGACAGCCAGAACTACATAGAGAAACCCTGTCTCAACAACAAAGATAAATACTGGTCACGTTACTCCATCACCAAGGGCTGTTCTGGCAAGAACTCTGGGCCCTCCACCTACAGGCTCTCCCTGTGTGTTATGCCAGGATGAAGGACTTCCCTCTGTCAGGAAGACCTCAAACTTGGAGGCTTCGCTTCCACGGCTACCGAGCTGGGTGTGAGGCATGCTGGGAGGCCTGCTTGGCTCGCTGCCTCCTCAGCTTTACGAAGGCCTGGGCCTCTCGATCACCCTTCCGGATATCTAACAGCTGCAAAATCGGATCTCCTGTGAAGAGAAAGGTTTGAGGGTCAAACTCCAGGCTGGAAAATAGTACTGCTCTGCCCCTATGCCAGCCTTGAAGGGAACTGGTGGACACACACCAGCTAAATTAACAATTATGTTTGACAAACAAGGCTGGAAATGTGACGTGTCCTGATGTGGTGACTACTCCCTTTTTCTAAGAGAACCTGAGTCTAGACAGCTAACTTCCGTCTGTTTTCTCACTTGTAAAAGAGTGTGAGTACACAGCTCACTAGGCTGTGAGAAGTCAATATACCGAGGGTACTTTTTAAGACTGGGCCTGGGGGCTGGAGAGATGGCTCAGAGGTTAAGAGCACTGGCTGCTCGGAAGAGGACCTGAGTTCAATTCCCAGCAACCACATGGTGGCTCACAACCACCTGTAATGAGATCTGGCACCCAAAGACTGGGTCCAGCTGGGTGGAGGTGGTGTACACCTTTAATCCCAGCACTCGGGAGGCAGAGGCAGGCGGATCTCTGTGAGTTCGAGGCTGGGCTGGACCGACAGCCTCCAAAACAATACAGAGAAACCCTGTCTCGTAAAAACCAAAAAAAACAAAACAAAAGAAGACAGGGCCCTTACTATGTAGCTGGGTTTAGAGGGGCATACCATCACTCCCAGCCCTAAGATACATGAGTGTCTCGTGACACAGACAGAGGCACAGGGACCTTCCTATTCACAAATCTGGCCTGTACTGCATGTGTGCCCTGCACTGAGATCCAGGCCCCGTCACAGGGACTAATTGGTTTCCCCACCAGGAGCAGTCACATGACGCTTCCATAGCTTGAATTTCACTGATCTCTCCATTAGACCAGAGATGCTCAGCAACGTGAGCCATGGGGCTTGTTCTCCTGGCTTCCGTCTTCCCAGAAGACACCTCTCTAGAGACCCTGCCAGAGAGCCCCTACCCTGGGGCACAGGCCTACCGTTGGGTGCAGGGTATGTGAGAGGCAGGCGCGTCTGAGGTGCTTCACCAGGCTCTTCACAGCCTGTCAGTCCAGGCACGCTGCAGAGTGGCAGGAAGGCCTCCCCCTCCAGGTCGTCAGCTCCCAGCGTGTCATGGTCCAGCACGGTGAGCAGGAGGCATGCCCAGTCTTTTTGGCAGGGCTCAGCAGGCACCAGGCTGGCAGGGAGTCAGGGGCTCAGTAAGTTGCCTGCTTTACTCAAATCTGCCACCAACAGTCCCTCCCTCCAACATACAGAGTACCCCCTGCTGAGAAGAGCAGTTGGATCTCAGCCAGGTCATCTCTGTCCCATGCTATAACACGCCCTCTGATCCTGGTCCTGTGGCCATAAGGCCCATCGTCAACAAAGAGCAGGTGACTGGGGCTGGAGAGATGGCTCAGAGGTTAAGAGCACTGGCTGCTCTTCCAGAGGTCCTGAGTACAAGTTCCAGCACCACATGGTGGCTCACAACCATCTGTAATGAGATCTGGCGCCCCCTTCTGGAGTGCAGGCAGGAACAATGTATACACAATAAATAAATAGAATTTAAAAAAAAAAGTTTTGGGGATCTTAAAAAAAAAGAGCAGGTGACCGAGTACCTTGGATGCCTCTGTTCCATGGGAATCCACCCCTTCTCCCAGGGAACACCTGTCCCAAGGACTCTCCTTCAGGGTTAGTGTGGTCATCTCAAGCATTCCTTATAGGAGGCATGTGCATACCCGTATACGGTGGGGATGGGGGGGAGCCCGTGGGGGGAGGGGTAATCGAATGAGGGAAAGGGGAGAGGGACAGAGAAGAATAGGGACCACTCACAATTCAAAGGTCTCGTCAAAAAGTGGGTGTAGTTCCTTTTTATGCTTCTGGGTCTCCCTGGGGGCCAGCTCAGGGAATTCATGTCTGGGTTCCAGCGTCAGCTGAACAAAGGGGTCGCTGGAACCTGGCAGGTGGCCCAGAGAGGGGCTGCTGAGTGAGTTCCAGCCACCATCAAACCCCACACTGCCCCACCCCCACCCCCAGCTGTTAGTCCTTAGCGCCCCCTTCTGGTAACTAGAAGAAATGTGCTCAGCGCTCCTGCTGTGCCCAGGGATCCTAGTGAGGACTGGCCCAGGGCAGCCTCCACTCACCATTGGAGTCCAGGGGCAGCAGGCTGGAGGCACTGAGCAGCTCCACTCGAAGCTTCTGCTCAGAGGCACGGTAGGAGGCCTTGATGGTGACAGCACCCAGCTGCTCAGAAGTGGTTTCAGCCTGGCAGGGGGGGACCATGCATGCGTGGGGATCAGTTGGGAAGGAGTGCGGGCAAGGCCCACCGTGACCCTCAGAGAGTGTGGGGAAGGAGTACCTCACCTGCTGCTGGATTCGGCTACAGAAATACTTCTGGATGAGCTCCCGGCTGGAGGCCGCCTGCAGATCCAGGTCCCTCTGCAGAGCCTGCAACGCATATCAGAGTATCCACCCAGACGCCTCCATGCCTACCCACGCCAGTGCTGCAGCCGGGCACTCAGAGACGGTGAGACATGACAGGAAGTACTGGGTCCCTAGGACCACAGCGATGGGTGCACCAGAAGACCCTGAGGCAGGGGACCAGCTGGCCGATAACCTCCCTCAGGCAAGCACATAGGGACCCTGCCCTGAAGCACGCTACGTTTGCATGATTTGTTTCTTGCCAGCATCACGAAACTTGTAATAATTTTGAATAAGAGGCTCAACTTTTTATATTGCACTCGGTTTTATGAATTATGTAGCTGGCCGGGCCTTGGTGGCGCATGCCTTTAATCCCAGCACTTGGGAGGCAGAGGCAGGTGGATCTCTGTGAGTTTGAGGCCAGCCTGGTCTACAAAGTGAGTTCCAGGACAGCCTCCAAAGCTACAGAGAAACCCTGTCTTGAAAAACCAAAAAAAAAAAAAAAAAAAAAAAAAGAATTATGCAGCTGGTCCTGGATACAGGGAAATACAGAAAGACAGGTTCCCTGCCTTGACCTCCTACCTAGGGGCTCATCAGGAGACCCTAACAAGGCCCTGGGGTCATTCCCCACGCGGCTAAGACTCTTACCTGGAAGGTGGCTGTGTGCAAGGCCTCTGGAGACAGACCACAGCCCTCGGCATGGAAGCAGATCTCCAGATTCTGGGAAGAGAGAAGAAATGACCCCAGGCACACCCAGGGTTAATATCCTGGCAGCTGGTAGGTACAGTGGTAGGTACCGTTACCTGAAGGGCTGCCTTCAGCCTGCTAGAGGCCAGCGACGAGCTACGCTGCGAAGAGGCCACCTCCACCAGCACCGTGAGCGTGTGGGTCCACAGCAGAGTCAGGAGGCTGGCCAGGGGCAGACAGGTACCGGCACAGGACAGAAAGACAGGCAGGGAGAAAGCAAAGATGCTCTTCAGGAAGGAGAGGGCTTAGGAACCCGGGCTCGTCCTGCCTCCCCCAACCCCTCCACAAGTCCCACAAGCGAGACTGGGCAGAGCTGGCCGACGCAGACGGTGTGGAGGAAGCGCTGCTCCCAGAGTGAGGGGGCCATCAATTCTGTCTCTTAGCCTCAGTGGAGAGGCCTCCTCCGGAGGACCACCGGCCTCCAGCAAACCACTGAGGGTGGAGAGGAAGGCTGGACCCCAGGGTTAGACAGGATCGCAGCACGCAGTAAGGAGAATAAAATGATGACAAGGACATGAACTGACGCCACCTGAGACCGTACATGCAGCCCCCTAGAGCCGAGCAGGTCCTGTGTCCTGATGGAGGAGGCCTGGTGAGGGGTATAGCTCAGGGGTACAACACTCGCCAAGCATGTGAGGAAGGAAGCCCTGGTTTAAAGTGGTGAGTGAACTCATTTAGTAACCATTTAACAGCACCAGATACTGTTCCCGATGTGAGCAAAGCTCCTGTCTTAGTGGAGAGTTAATTCTCACTTATGTGAGGAAAAACAGAACAGTACAAAACAACAAAAAACCACTCAACAAATGACATAAAGAAGTCCAAGTCCCCAGGGGCCCGGCTTGCTGCTCAGTAGGAGGCAAACATTATGTAGGAGGAAGAGCCCAGCTGCCAATCATGACCCAGGTTCCACCTGGAGGCAGGTGAGGCTCTAGACCAGCACAGCCCTGCCCACAGCTCTTCATGTGGTCCATTCTCTCCTCCAGAGAGGCTGGGCATGGGAGTGAACATCCTGAGGCCACTAAAGAGGAACCCAAAAGCTGGGACCTGAACCTAGGTATCCAAAGTCTACACTTTCACCATCCCAGCCCCCACCTGGGACATGCCAGACGCCTGGACCGTGAAGAGGAAAGAGAGGCGGTCAGGGGCCCTGAAGATGGGCTGGGCCTGGAGGATTCAGGGGAAGCTTGCCATGCTCAGAGCTGGGCAGAATGAGCGGGGCCAGCGAGAGAAGCAGTGAGCTCCCTGCCCCTGAGGCTGGGTGGATCCTCCGAAGGAAGTCACCAAAAGGATTCCCAGCGCGCCACTGCCCCACAAACCTGCTGAAGTTCTCCTGGACCAGGTTGGTGTTCATGTAGCAAAGTTTCACCTCCAAGAATTTCATCAGGGGCAGAATGGCCTAGGGCAGATAGGAAGGACATAAACTCAGGCCCCGTTTTAGCCCCCATGCCGTGGATAGGGAACAAAGCTAGGCTTTGTGTGTCCTTTCTGCCCCTGAGGCTCTCCCTGCTCCCACCACAGCATCCTCTGCACCCTGCAGACCAGCTCTGCACAAACCGCCTTAGGACCTCTGCTCTTCCTGATCCCTCTGCCTGGAACGTTCTTCCTCTAGGTGTCTTCACACATCCCTTTCTTGCTTCCTGCAGGTCTTGACTCAGCTGCCACACTGAGAACAAGGCCTTCCCTGACCACTACCGGAAAGCCCGCCCCCTTCTCCTGTTTTATTTTTCCCTTTAGCGCTTACCATTGTCTAGCACTCTCTCTGTAAGCGTGTGTGCAAGCATGCACGACTGGATGCATGTCCATAGTTACACTCGTGGCTATAACTATAGCCGTATCTCTACGCTTAGCTACTCTTTATCCCCTCAGAGCAGAAGCCCTGAGACCGCAGGAGCTTTGGTCACACCAACTTAATATCAATTGCTTAAGTTGGTATCTGGAACTAAAATGTGTGTTTGCTCAACATTTGATGGGTTAATTAGCTTTCCCCCAAACAATCAGAGGCACAGTGATACAGTCTCCCCTTTACGCACGAGGACCTTGGGGTCAGCTGGCTGACACAGACAGATGCTAAGCTCTGGGAAGGATGTGTTCCCATACCTACATGTTCCCAGGGTACGAAACTGAGCTGAACCTCCCGAGGTAATCCCACAGCATCCACCAGTCTAGGAGAGCTCGTGGCATGACCCATCCGCCTCGATGAGCATCCAAGGAGGACACTGAGGCCCAAGGTTGGGGGACTGATCTGACATCCTCAGGGCTTTCAGCTCCTGTCAACCCAAGCTCTTTTCACAACCCCAGATGCACAGAGTGAAGTGAAGATCAACAAACAGGACAAAGTTACTCACATCCTCGGGCAGGACGGACTCCTTGACACCAATGAGTTTCTGGATGTGTGTGGCGATGCCTACCTCCAACTGGGGACACAAAGCAGGGAGACAAAGGGAGATGGAGAGAGTCAGGGAAATCCAGGGAGTCGGCTTGAGGCCTGGGTTCAGGTCTGGGGTCATGGGATAGACATTAGCTCTGGTCCTGCTGAGGAACTGGGTAGGCAGGGTTCCCCGGGGGATCCGACAGTACCTGCTCAGCCAGGGTCTGGACGCCAGTCCGGATCTCATAGCCCAGCCCGGCCAAAGCACCCTGCAGCTGAGCATGTAGCGTGTTCTGCAGCTGCCCCTGCTCCAGCACGGCCCCGACCCGCTGCTCCAACGCCTCCCACGCCAGCTGAGCGGGCAGCTTGTCAATGATCAGTCGCAGCTGTTCCATGTTGTTCACCACGACACACAGCTGGGGACAGTCACGGGCACAGGGACGCAGGGCGTCCTGACACAGCCCGGAGACAAGCAGATCCACCCCTACCCTGGCACCCTTCGGCCCAGCTCACCATGTTAGCTGCCTGGCCCTGGTCCTTCTGACCTGTAGACAGCTCACGGGCACGGGCCTTTATGAGGCTGCAGTAAACCAGGGCCAGCCGGCAGGTGTCCTGGAGTGAGCAGGTCACGGGATGATGGATGAATGGGGGTCTCAGAATGGGTCAATAGAGGGGTCTCGGAAACTCGGGGTCTAGGGTGCAAGCTCTGTGGGGGGCCTGGGAGTGGCCGGTAGCTTGAGAGCCCGTGAGGAACCGGGAAGGGCGGAGTGATGCTGTCCTGGGGGGAGGGAGGATGCTGTGAAGGCGCCATACCTCCACAAACTTGACAGTGATCATGAAGGCTTCCTCGGGGTCTGGCCAGTCCAGCTGCCGGGCAGTGTGGCTAATCTGCGCAAAGCAGGTGGACAGGTCCACGGCAGAAGTGCTGTGCTTGGTCAGTTCGCCCAGGGGCACCAGCTGGGGAAAGGAGGAAAGGCGGCTCAGAGAAGGCAGACCCAAATCTGTTCCCCCAACTACCAAGCCCAGAGCTGAGTGGAAGCTCCACCCACTGACCCTTCAGCTCACAGGATTCCCTAGGCACAGGGAAAGCCCTGCTGGGCCTCTGGATATCAGGTGCATATTTTTTCACCCGGCCGGCCTGAACAGCACTCCGATGAGATGTTCAGAGACGTTTAGAGATTTCTACCGGCCAGGAGGTCCCAACAGAGAGCCCAACCTCACTCCCAAACCTAGGGCCCCCTACTCCCAAACCTAGTCCCATCCTCCCCCCCCGTGCCCCCCCCCGGTACCGAGTCCATCCGCACGGCACGCTGCACCCGCTCCAGGGCAACACTGTAAGTCTTCTGCAGCCAGGAGGGGATGGCTGGCTGGAACCAGCGGTGGAAACCGTCCAGGGCCAGGACTCCATTGCTGGGGAGAGCAGAGGCTTAGCCTGTGGAAGGTAGGGCCTGGCTTTGGGCCACTGCCCTTGTTAATGCTTTTTTGGCCTGTATGCGGGAAGCCCACCTTCGAACCACCTGTCCCCCACCTGTGGGAGGGGCCTGGGCCCAGTTGGCTGATCTCCTTCAGGCTGACGTAGAGCTGAAACAGAATCTCTCCCATATCTGGAGACACAAGGTTGCCCACTGTCGCTGTGTGGTCCTGTACCCTCTTAGACACCTACCAAGAAAAGCTGCTTAGGTTTCAGAGCTAGGCACATGTAGCAATCTAGAGATGGCAGAGGGGGTCTCACCAGCCACTGCAGCTCCTGGAAGGCCATGGAGAACAGGTCTATCTTGAGGACACTGGAGGAAAGGCAGTGTGTGTCACAGTGGTTACCTACCAGGTCCCACAGGCCCATCAGCTCCAGACCCACAGATGCTCACTTGTGGAAAATCTTGTTCCATGTTTGACGGCACTGGTGCAGATCACCCAGGACATCCTGTACCAGGCTTATCAAGGCCTTGCCAGCCTCCAAGATGCCCTGGGAAGGATGCAGGTGGTTGGACAGGGTCACAAGGGCAGACGCCATACACGCACCCAGCCTGTCCCAGAGTCTACCTGCACCATGGGCTGATGGTGTTGCTGCATCAGGTGAAACCATTCAACTGTGCCGGTCTGTTGGAAGACAGGCAGGGAGAAGGACGGGTTACTGAGCTCAGGTACATGCCCCACCCCCACCCCTGGGGAGATACCTACCCGCAGTGCCTCAGAAACCAGCTGGGGCAGTGGAGCACTGTCTGGACACAGCTCCCCAAAGGCCTTTGTCTTACACATCTGAGCCAAGACTCTAGAAGACAGAGGGCTCTGTTCAGAGAGGCCTGCCACCCCGCACCCACACAGCAGGCTTCCTAGGCTCCTCCCGCAGAGGTGCCAACCCTGCCCACTCATCCCAGACCCCTGTGCAGAAGCAGAAGGGTAGCCACTGACCTGAGGAGGGACTGAAGTCTGGATGGGGAGTCAGAGACAGACAGGGGAAAGATGGAGCGGAACTTCCGGATGAGGGAGAGGCCGTAGGTCAACAGGGAGGTGAAGGAGGCAGCCAGTTCCTCCTGCTGCAAAGCCAGGGAGATGTCACGGTCCCTTGGCACTCCAGAGCCCTGCCTGCCTGCCCCACTCACCCCGCTCACCTGCTCTGCCTTCAGCCGGCCCTGGATCCACTGGTACTCCATGCTGGTGATGGGGTGCAGGAGGCAGCTGCTGGGGAACTCCAGGCTCTGGTAGAGGCGGCTGTAGGCCAACCACTGCCTGCAGAGACAGGAAGCCCTCAGCAGAGCCCAGGAAGGCAACATCCCCCTATTCTTTCCACCAGAAGAGGATGAACCAGTGGCCGGACCTCTGCTTGTTTCTGTAGATGCTGTTCAAGTCGCCTGACTATTTTTGGATGTTTGGTTTTGGCTTTTGAGAGAGGGTCTCTCAACATATCCCTGCCTGGATATCCTGGAACTCACCTTGTAGACCAGGCTGGCATTTGAACTCACAGAGATCCTCCTGCCTCTGCCTCCCGAGTGCTGAGATTAAAGGTGAGTGCCACCAACGCCTGGCCTCACCTGACTCTTTTTTTTTTTTTTATTACATATGCACCAGATTGAATTGTAGATGGTTGTCAGCCACCATGTGGTTGCTGGGAATTGAACTCAAGACCTCTGGAAGTACAGTCAGTGCTCTTAACCTCTGAGCCATCTCTCCAGCCCTCACCTGACTCTTAAATTGTGCTTTGTCTGGATAAAACCTCAGAGCTGGGCCAGGGATGGTGGTGCATGCTGTTAATCCCAGCACTCTGGAGGCAGAGGCAGGTGGATCTTTTCAGTTTGAGGTCAGCCTGGTCTACACAGCACTTTCTGGGCCAGTCAGGGCTACATAGAGAGTACCTTGCCTCAGTAACAACAACAAAAAATCCTTCACTATTTCTGGGGCCAGTAAGATGGCTCAGTGGGCAAGAGTGCTTGCACCAGTCAGGGAGAGAGAGATGTCACTAGCAACTAAGAGCACTAGCAGAGGACCTGAGTTTGGTTCCCAGCATCAATGTCTGGAGGTTCATAACCATCCATAACCCAGGCTCCAGGGCCTCCAGTGCCCTCTCCTGGCCAGTGAAGGCGTTTGCATATATGTGGTATATGATCACACAAACAACACACACATATACACACAAATAATTCTTAAAAAAGAAACCGAGCTGGGTGTTCATGGTGCACTGTGTGCCTTTAATCCCAGCACTCAGGAGGCAGAGGCAGGCATATCTCTGTGAGTTCGAGGCCAGCCTGGTCTACAGAGCAAGTTCCAGGACAGGCTCCAAAGCTACACAGAGAAACCCTGTCTTGAAAAACAAAAAACAAAACAAAACAAAAAGTGTCTCAGACAGGGGTGACTGAGCTAGGTGAGGCTATGGTGAAAGCAGGGACAAACAGGGACAGGCTGACCAGGCTGAGGGCCCCACTGACACAGCTACTGCTTGCATTAAGTGCCTGGATCCTGAGAGGGGACCTGGCATCTTGCTGGCCTCACTGCACCCCAGCTTCCTCTTCAGAACACCCATCGGCCCAAGAACCCAGAGGCTCCCACATCCCCAGAACTGCCCCCCGCCAGTGCTTTTCACCCATACCAGTCCCAGATGTGACCATTCTCCTCTCCACACAGGCTGGCACGCCAGCCATTCACAAGTGCCCCTTCTTGGCATTCCCAGAAGCCGCCACACCTCAGGGACACGATGGCCCTTGGAGATTGAGTGTCATTTTTAGAGTTTTTGTTTTTTTGGGACAGGGTCTTACTGTATAGCCTAAAGTGACCTCAAACTTGCCGCCATCCAGCTGGGTGGTGGTGGCGCACGCCTTTAACCCCAGCACTCGGGAGGCAGAGGCAGGTGGATCTCTGTGAGTTAGAGGTCAGTCTGGTCTACAGAGTGAGTTCTTTTTTTTAATTTTTTTAACATTTATTTATTTATTACGTATACAGCATATGTCTGTATGCCCGCAGGCCAGAAGAGGGCACCAGATTTCATTACAGATGGTTGTGAGCCACCATGTGGTTGCTGGGAATTGAACTCAGGACCTCTGGAAGAGCAGGCAGTGCTCTTATCCTCTGAGCCATCTCTCTCCAGCCTCAGAGTGAGTTCTAGGACAGGCTCCAAAACTACAAAGAAACCCCATCTCAAAAAAACAAAAACAAGGGCTGGAGAGATGGCTCAGAGGTTAAGAGCACTGACTGCTCTTCCAGAGGTCCTGAGTTCAGTTCCCAGCAACCACATGGTGGCTTACAACCATCTACAATTCAGTCTGGTGCCCTCTTCCGGCATGTACACAGAACACTGTATATGTAGTAAATAAATAAATCTTAAAAACAAAAACAAAAACCTGTGCTTTGAGCTGCCAGCCTGTCGGTGAGGGGGCAGGGCGGAGGAGGCCCCCAGGGGTCCTGAGCACGGTGTGTACTCACGCCATGGACTGGTGGAAGTCCGACAGGTCCTTCTGAGTGGCATGGAGAAAGAGGATGGTGGCTCCCTGGGGACTCAGGGACGCATCCCAGGAGGCACTGCCAGCCTAAGGGAAACAGTAGAGGTGTATGGGGACCCGGCAGGTGGCCCTGGTGGTATTCAGCGGTGGCAGACAGCCGTACCTGGTGCTGGGTGACTTCATGGGACACCAGCTGCTGCAGTAGATGGAAGTGTACAGTGTAGCTGGGCTTGGAGCGACTGGCCACCGTGGCTCTCTGCAACAGGGTCAGCAGGGCTCTGAGCAGAGGACCCCATGCCAGACACGCCCCGCCCTCCCCAGCCCAGCCAGACACGCCCCGCCCTCCCCAGCCCAGCCAGACACAGCCAGTAGCCCAGGCCCAGGCCCCGGGAGGGAGGGACCTACCCGCTTGTGAAGGAACTGGAACTGGAGGTGACACTGGCCGCGGTCTGGGTAGGTCTCTGTGCAGGGCTCCAGCGGGTACCACTGGTCCTCCCGGCAGTGCAGGTCCTAGCAGGCAGGACACACAGTGAGGAGCATCAGGACCCTGCAGAGAGCCGAGGCGAGGACAGGGACGCAGTCGGGGCAGCACCCAGGCTCGGGCTGGGTCAAACCTGAAGTCCCCTCCCTGCCTTCGCCTGTCTCCTGACCTTGCTCCCTGCCCTCACCTGCAGCCTCAGAACCACGTTCCCCAGAAAGTCGTCCTGGCCCTTGTCCTTCCGGGCTTCCTTAAAGATCCTGTTGTGGACAGGATTGGTAAAGGGTCAGTCACCCGGGCGGGCACTCGAGGGCAGAGCCTGCATTCCCGAAACCTCTCGAAGAGGGGGGGCCTCCTTCCTCCAGAGTCTGTAGCACCCACCTTCGGAGCCCGTGCAGGTCCGTGAGCTCCCCGAGCTTTTGTCTCACGGACTCCACAGTGTCCAGGTCCCTGTAGGCCAGAGGTTTTGAGCAAAGGGCAGAGAGGGGGCCCTGACCTCATCAGTAAAGAATCTCTGCCCCATGCCCACCCCCCATGCCTCTGTTTGTCCTCGTCCTCAGGGGCGGGGCTGGCCACTCACCACATGTCCAGGTGAAAGCTTGCATTGGCTATATCCTCAAACTCCCTTGAGTGGGAAAAAGAACACATACACTTCAGGACGTCAGCTGCGTGGGACACCCATGCACACTCACATTGGGCCAGGTCACAAGGGCTGGTCACTAACCCAGAACCTGCCCTCTGAAACTGCCATCCCAATACCACCCCCAGTGTGGAGTTGCAGCCCCTTCCTGCCTAGCTCTTCCCTCCCCTTTTAATTTTTTCTCTTGGGTACAGGATCTTATTATGCAGCCCTGGCTGTCCTGGAACTCGCTCTGTAGACCAGGCTGTCCTCGAACTCACAGAGATCCGCCTGCCTCTGCCTCCCGAGTGCTGGGATTAAAGGTTGAGCCACCCCACCCGGCTTCCTTCCTGGCCACTTCTCTACCCCTGCAAGGATGGGCTGGAGTTGTCCCCTGGTCTCCATCCACTCAGGGATGCCCAGTTGTCCCTGCCCTACAACTATAGAGCGTACTTAGTCATTTGGGGGGTCTTGCCAGGAAGCCTAGATTAGCCTTGAACTTGTCATCTTCCTGCCTTACTCTCTCGAGTGCTAGCGTCACAGGCGTGTGGCACCGCATCGGGCAGGTACATGACTGGCATTCATGTCGTGGGTCTGTTCTGTCTAGCTGAGTTTCCCTCCAGCCCTACTTGAGGACCGACCAAGGTTGAGCTCCCTCTCTTGATTCAGGAAGACCACTGGTCTCCTTGGCTAGGAAACCTACACCCAAAGGAGCCCGTGGGAGCGGGGAACAGAGGATAGAGCCAGGGACGGCCCACGTACAAGACAAAGGTCTCATCCCAGACAGGATTCAGCGTCTGGTTTTTGACTTGGGTGCGGTGGATCTGCTCTTCGGGGATGGTGTGCTTAACTACAGCCTTCTGTCGACGCCGAGACACAGGGCTGCCCTCCGGGATGCCAGCTCCCTGCTCGATGATGCCCAGCAGGCAGTAGGGGTCACTGAGCCCTGGCCATGAGTGAGGGACAAGACTCCAAGAAGTCAGCCACAGTCCCTTGAATTCCCATCCGCTCCCTGGGGCCCAGCCTCCTCCAGAGAAAGCTGGAGAAGGTCCCTCTAAGCTCAGCATCTAAGCATGGGAGGCTAGCAGCTGGGAAGTTTGTGGGTGGGCTCTCTGGCAAAGGGTTCAAGGCCAGACTGTGATGGAGACAGGGGACCCGGGGCACCCCAAACATACTCACCACTGACATCCTTGCCCAGAATGCCCTTGGCCTGTTTCACTGTTGCCTTCAGGCAAAATATTGGTTTCTGGAAGAATGGGAGTGGGGGCTGCCTGAGCTCCCGAGAGGGCCCGGCTTCCCATGCCCCTACCTTAACCAGCGTGCCCTGGCCCAGGCTACCTCGAGCTCCCCAACACGCTGTAGCATCTGTTGGTGCTCCTCAGGCTGTACCTGGAAGGCCTGAAGAGGACAGACGTGTATGTGGGGGGGCTGGGGATACAAGGTAGGGTGGTCTGGTGGGCAGGGAGGGCTGAGCCTGGGCTGTAGGAAGATGGGCAAGGGTGGGGCCTGGGCTTACCTCCTGCAGATAGCGCAGCAGCTCTGAGGCGTCCTTCACATGGTTGGGCTCTGGCTGTCCCAGGCGGTGCAGGACGGTATAAAGGGCTTCCTCGTACAGCAGGTCCCGCTGAGACATAGCAGGGTCACCTCAGGAGCCCCATCTCCACCCAGCAGCCCTCCCTGACACCCTCTCTCTCAGGCCCAGGAAAGGGACAGAGAGGTACATGTGTAGGGAAGCTTGAAACACCGAGTTCTCTTCTAGGTGATGGCAGCCGCGGCCTCTGGGGCCTGAGGGGCCTCCCTCAGAGAGGATGTAGGGTTTCCCACATCACCCACACTCCCCCAACTTCACCTCTTACCTCTTCTGAGGAGAAATGGTGGGCCTGAACCTGGACCTAGGAGCAAGGTGAAAAGACCAAGCTGTCCCCAAAGGCTTATCCAGCCAGGCAAGGTGACCCAGGCCTAAGACTGAGGGACCCCGGCACCTCAGCCAGCCTCCCAGGCCTCGAGGCTCCGGAGGCCCACATAAGGCTCCCTGAAGGGCTCACCCCTGGGTCATTTTGCTCATCCCCTGGCCTGCGATGCCTGAGGTCCATGAGCGTTCAGCTGGCCCAGCAGTGGGCTCTCCAGTACCTGCCCCCCCCCTTCCTTCCCCAGAGGAAACAGCAGTGCTTATCAGGCGGCCACTGGCTCCTCACCCAAGCTGCGGAAGTGAGGAGGCCTAACAGCAGAGGTGGGGGAGATACCAGGCAAGTCTGGGGTTATCTCAGAGGGTCCCTAGGCAGCCCACTGTCATTGGAGACCCCGCTTCATGGGACTGATGCTTTCAGAGCTAGAGGAACAGGGTGCCGGAAGTACAGGACCCCCAAAGGGACGAGACTAGAGAAGCCCACCGTGGCTCGGGGAACACAGGGTGGGCCTCTGTCTGCCCACCCACAAGGCTATGCCCAGGGCCGGAGAGGGTAGGTGGGTGGGGGCAGACAGCCTCCCCATCCAGGCCTCAGGGCTGCGGCGCACCCCCACGCTAGCTCTTTGCCCCTTTGTGGTCCCCTACCTCCTGGGTGGTTTGGGGCGGTGGATCCTGTAGGTCTCTGACCCTGCGGCGCCTTATCTTGATGGCCTGGCGCAAGAGTGGAGGGCGCCGATGGGGCTGGGAGAGGTGTGTCGCCATGGTGGCTGACTCTACCGTTCCCTCTGCCACCCCCCCAGCTGCCGGTGGAAAACGGCGAAGCCGCAAGATGATGCAAAGAGCCCCAACGTACACCCTCTGCTAGGGGAGGGTGGAGGCATGGAAGGGTCAGGGTGTCACTGCCTTCTCCCAGGGTCCCTGCACCTTCCTCCGCCCGGATCCTTGCAGGATCCTCTCCGGCCTGGAGCAGAGTGGACCCAGTGGGCGGGGTTAGCCCCACCCACCCTCCCAAGGAGGCTCTGGGGAAGAGTCCTGAGCTCCTGGCGAGGGTGGGAAGGCCAGGCTATGTAGCAGCCTGGGCCAAGGAAGCTGCCCTAGACCTGTGGCGCTCTCACCCCCACGGCTTTCTGGATAGGCACCAGATCTGGGTCAGGGTGGGGCGGGTTCAGGGCAGTGACTCAGGAGCAGCATTTCTTCTGCCCAGTAGTCAATTGCTCAGCCTGCTCCACCCCGCAGGTGACATTCCAGGGAAGGGATGGACTCCTTGGTGTCAGCCAGGGAGGGGAAGAATGGCCATGAAGCCCGTTCCCACCACCCATGGTCAGGAGGGTGCTCCTCCGCGAGCCCCTAGGGGTGGCGGCACGCCCTTGCTCCTCCCCTCCCCCCCCCCCGCTCTGTGGGGGACATTGGTCAGCAGAGGACTTCAAGGCTGGGTCTCCCGCCGCAGGCCTGGCAGGGTTTAGCTTTATTCTACATTCTTCCCCTAGGTCAGGAAATGAAGCTGGACTCCTCACGGGAGTCCTGGCATGCTCGTGCTCAGAAGGGGAGTTGCAGATGGGACACAGGCCTCGTTCTGCCACCGGCTGGCAGTGGGTGGCACCGTGCACCATGCCAGGCAGGTAGAGACCTCTGTAGGAAGGCTGGGAAGCAAGTGCACCCTGACAGACACTGACAGGAAACAGGCTTCTCAGCCCCACCTCCCAGCTGCCAGCAGCGCCTCCTCCCGGAAGACCTCACCCTCTTCACCACACACAGTCAGACAAGTCCAGTTACTTCATTTACTATTTCACAGTTGTAGCAAACAAATCAAGGTGCAAACTGGGTTTATTTCACATTAATATATTAACTGGATTTTTTGTGTCAAATAAATAGGGATTTCTCTTTAAATAACCATCTCCTCATTTTGTGTCCCGACCAGGAACAAGAGCAAATCTTAGTGCATCAAGGGGGCAGGAAGCTCACACAGGGGCAGATGGCAGATTTCAGGTCACATGGTTGGAGGTGCTCGTTCCCAGAAGGAACCGGGACAATGTGGCAGGGTGAGCGTGACTGAGGCCAGGGCCCCCCAAAGGGAATGTGGACTGACATCTGCTGGACAGTGGCTTTCCGGGGCCAGGCACATGCCAGGAGGAAGGAATGTGAGCACAGCCTGACAGGCCCATAGGGGAGACACAGGCTGGTCTGATGAGCCCACAGATGGAGTGCGACAGCCAGCAGGCTGACAGGGCTGGACTGTGGCGGAGGAGTGGCCAGAGAGTCCCTCTGTGGGGAGGAGCTTCTCCAGTGAGGAGCCCCAGATCACGGTGAGAGGGAAGCCAGACAGGGCAGTGCCAAGGGCTGAGCTAGTGTGGGAAGCAGGGAGGCGCCTCTCAGAGGCCGGGAGCCCTGCCCTTCCATCAGGGCTACTTCCTGGTAACTTTATAATCAGGCTTGGGGAAGAGCAGGCTCTCCCCGCCTCCCAGAGTCTCAGATGCAGCTCCATGGGAGGCCCGGGAGGGGAGGGGTCGTCCAGTGAGAGGCAGGGAGGTAGGCAAGGTCTACTGGGTCTTCTTGTCTTCTGGTGGGTAGTAGGGTGGCGGCGGAGGCTGGCTCTAGTTAGAGGAAGAAAACAGAAATCACGTGAGACATCAGAGTGAGCTGTGGTCTCTCTCCCAGGCTGTGTGACTGAGAGGGAGGGTGGGCAGGGTTACCCCACTTACCGTAGGCATGTAGACATTGTGTGGGTTGCCGGGGTTGTAATAGGCGCTGGCAGCTGCTTCTGCGGCCTTGGCCTCAGCTGTAAAAGGGAACACAGGGCTGGATGGCAATAAGTGACAATCCCCCTTGCCTGACTCAGGCCACCAAAACCTTCAGTGACTTTCCTAAGCACCTGCCATGGGCTGGCACTGTCCCTTTCCATGCCCTGGCATAAGTCTATGGGGCAGTCCTGGTGACCACCTGTGGACGAGAACACTGAGGTACACAGGGTGACCTTCTGGAGTCTAGACGTTCGCATTCTGGGGCACTGGGGACACAGAACCCAGGCCCAGCCCATGCCAGGTAAGGGTTCAAAGAACCACAACCCAGCCCTTGGACAGAGCTCTTCACCGATGGACCACCACTCTGCTGGTCAATTGGGTGTTCTGTAAGCCAGAAACCCTTCAGTAGTCTCCAGCCATCTGGTGGGGGTTCTCTGTAAGACCTTCCGGAGGAGAAAGCCAGCGGCCTAAGGACCTCACCTGCAGGAGTGGGGGGGGCACTCGGGCCGCTGACTGGAGGCTCCATGGGCCCAGGATAGGGTGGTGGTGGGGGCTGCACATATCCCATGGCCCCATCCATCATGGGAGGTCCTGGATAGAACTCTGCTTGGGGAGAGAGTGACAGAGACAGTGAGCAGGCCCTTGAGGCTCCCTCCCAAGGCTACTCCTGGGGTGACCTCCAAATTCTTCAGTGTCGCTTGGGTCTCAGGCAGGTGAAAGGGCACATCACCCCCTCTGCAACCTGAAGGTGTGGTTGGTGGGTGGGCAAAGGACACTCACCAGGTGGGGGCGGTGGATAGGGGTAGCCAGGAGGGCAGGGGTACATTCCATTGGCGACTGGCGGGGGAAAGACATAGGCCCCGCTGGGCATGTAAGGGTACCCATAGGCTCCATTAGGGGCTTCACCTCTGGAGGCTATAAGTACAAGCGGAGAGAGAGATGAGTGTTGCCTGCCTCAGGGACGGTGAGTCCCAGGACGGTGCCCACAGATGTGCTCTACAGCAATTCCACTGCCCGCCCCGCTGCCTGGGTCTGCCTGGGTCACCGTGCGGTGACAGGAGGGTAGGAAAAGGGGCCAGAAGGCAACAGGGCAGGAGTGGAGAGGGAGTGGATGGGAAGGTAACGTGGGGTGGGGCAGGGGTAAAGAATGAGAGGGAATGAGTATTGTGCTGGTCATTTACAATGGCGGCTGGACGGTGGTTTAACAGTTGGGTTTTGTGTGTGTTTTTCAGTCCAAACATTTCTGTTAGAATGTGCAGAGGAAGAAAACCCACGGACAGTAATCACAGATTTTGTTCCCCACTCCCAGCCCTGTCAGCTGGGCCCAGAGCATGACCTCCTGGTGCTCACAAACAAGAAGTGTTAGAATAGATGTTTTAAGAGCTGGGATACCTTGTGACGCCACCTGGAGCATCCGCTGGCCAAACTCAATGGCGCCCCCTGCTGTGAAGGTCAACTTGTAGGAAGCAGCGCCTTCCCAGCCACCTGAGAAGGGAGGGGCAAGGACAGTGAAGGAACGAACGGTGAGGGGAAAACAGGTTCAGAGGTTCAGCTCTGAAAGACGGCTCTTAGTCCTCTTCTGGCTGTTGCCCAACCCTGAGGAGGCTGTCGGGAAGGGGCGGGGCTTCTGCCGGTACCCACGAAACACCTGGTGCGGCACACTGGCCTGGCTCCTGCCTGTGGGTTTCATCCTCTCCACAGGGCCTCCCCACCCCCAGCCAAGTGCACAGCCAGCACCAAGGCTACACGGTTGACTGTAGCCAGCAGCAGGGAGGGAGGCCTCTCCACCACCAGTAAAGCACTGTCCTGGTAACTGATGTGGAGATCAGGGCAGGACTCTCCTGGTAAGTGGCCTCAAGACAGAACAGGGTCCCTCCAGCCTGGCTGGGTGAAGGGGGAGTGAGGCCGACACAGGGCTCTCTGGAGTCTGGGAGTCAGTCACAAAGCAAGGCCCTGCCAGCCTCTGGGAAGGCTCCTCCCAGGAACGGGACACAGTTCCTCCCCAAATCTAGACTGCACCTTCCCAGGTGGAAAATGAGCTCCTTTAGTTTTAATCTGATGGGCTCACTCTTGATACAAGGTGGGTCTGACACAGCGTTTCCCACTCTTGGCAACCAAAACCCACACATGCCGCTCCGCCGTTAGCCCAGGCGGCTGAAGGTGATTCAGGCCTGGGAAAGGGAGGCAATCAGACACCTAGAAGGCTGCACTGCACTCACACCCGAGTCCCCTTGTCACCTACCTCCCGCTTCAGCCTTGACTGTTCCCTTAATGAAGTTCGCACCAAACACCGGCTGCTTGATCTCACAGTCCTTCATCAGATAGAACGGCATCATGAAGGACTGCATGGCGTCCTTCCCCTTAGACAGGAAGATGACCTATGGCGAGAGGCAACCACGCCATCAGAGCCAGAACCTAGCCAGCTCAGCCACTGCCTCCCACCATGTTCTGAGTGCTGGTCTGCTGTTCCCGCGTCAGAGCAGACAGCACAGCCCAGGTCTGACGGCCGCACGGCTCCTCCCAGGTGCTATAAAGTCAAAGGCTTTGGTGCAGCCCAGAGACCCCAGACTCAGGTGTGCACAACTGAACCTGTGGGCTGCAGAGAGAGAGAGACTTCAGAGACAGAGAGGGTGGCCAATGTGGTATGCGCACAGGGGAGCCTGCTTTGCTAGTGCAGGGCAGGGCAGACTCCTGGGGTGGGAGGGAGAGCCCAAGCTCATACAAAACACAGCTCACAGGGTCCAGGAGAAGGGATCCCTGTGACTTCCTGCAGGTCACACTCTGCCTGACAGTCACAGAACTCTCCTGGCCCACATCTCGAAAACCCCTTGATTTCTTTTTTTTTCCTTAATTACATTTATTTATGTTATAGTTGTGGGTTACGTGTACATGTGGATGGAAGTCAGTGAGCTCTCCCCTTCCATCAATGTGGGTCAAACCCCTGGGTCTCCAAACCACCAGACACTCAATCTAACGGGAGATCTGCTATCGTGTGAGTCTCCAGAGGTGCCATCGTCAAAACCTGCAGATATGCACTCCCTTTGGCAGTCCTGACACCTCACAGGTGGGAGACCACGGGCAGAGCCCTCTCCTAAGTACCCGGCGTGTTCACACCTCACAGGTGGGAGACCACGGGCAGAGCCCTCTCCTAAGTACCCGGCGTGTTCACACCTCACAGGTGGGAGACCACGGGCAGAGCCCTCTCCTAAGTACCCGGCGTGTTCACACCTCACAGGTGGGAGACCACGGGCAGAGCCCTCTCCTAAGTACCCGGCGTGTTCACACCTCACAGGTGGGAGACCACGGGCAGAGCCCTCTCCTAAGTACCCGGCGTGTTCACACCTCACAGGTGGGAGACCACGGGCAGAGCCCTCTCCTAAGTACCCAGCGTGTTCACACCTCACAGGTGGGAGACCACGGGCAGAGCCCTCTCCTAAGTACCCGGCGTGTTCACACCTCACAGGTGGGAGACCACGGGCAGAGCCCTCTCCTAAGTACCCAGCGTGTTCACACCTCACAGGTGGGAGACCATGGGCAGAGCCCTTTGCTAACTATTAATTTGTATTACTCAGAGCCCACATGGCTCACTCTGGAGCGTCTGATTCTGCAGCCTGACACCTCTCACTCTGCAGGGCTCTGCTGGGCCTTCTGCCCATCGTGGAGGCTGTGGCCCTGCTACTGTGTGCTGTTTACCACACTCATCACTCTGACTGTGCATGAGCCTTGAGGGCTCCTCCAGGCAAGTCACCACAGCAGCTGTATCACTTCAGAGAGATTTCTGTGGAGCCTCTGACTGCTGCACAACTCACACGGTACGGGGTGAGGTAGACAGTGCCTTTCTTGGTCCCTTTGAAGGCCTCCGGCACATTCTTCATGTCATTGAACGTAAGCTCCACATGATCATAGGACATCAGGATGCTGTGATGAGAAAAACACAAAGCGCCACAATGACATGTTGTCAGTCATCCTAGACCCAGGACTAAGTCACTCATAACACTGTTGCAACAGGGTTATGAGGAAACCATCAGTACAGCCAGGTAGAGAGGGACAAGCTGGGCTTACAGTCCCCAAGTGACCAGGGGAAGAGAACTGTCTTTATCTCTGACCGGACTAGATCACCTGGGCTTTCTTCTCAGTCTGCTCTTAAGCCCTGTGACTGGCGTTCTAGTTTGGGCTTTCTGAGGCAAGTTTCATATAGCTCAGGCTGGTCTTGAGCTCGCTATGTTCCTCCTGCTTGCACCTCCCAAGTGCTGGGATTACAGACTGCTACCACCAGGCCAGCTTCATGAGGTGTCAGGGATGGAACATGGGGCTTTGTGCACGCCAGGAAAGCATTCTTCTGCCTGCAGCCACAGCTCTTTTACTGCTGCATAAAAACAAAACAAAACTAAACTAGACCTGATATAGCTGGACAGTGAGGGATGCTCGCCTTTAACCCCAGCACTCAGGAGGCAGAGGCAGGTGGATCTCTGTGAAGATAGTCAGGTCTATAGAGTAAGTTCCAGGACAGCCTGAGCTACCCTGTCTCAAAAATACCAGAACAACAAACAAAACCCTAATATATAACATGAGTCTAATGGGACTTGGGGATGCAGCACAGTAGTATTTGCATAGCATGGTCACAGCTCTGGATTCTTCCCCAGCAACACACACGTAGCCAATAAATAAGTAAATAAAGTATACAGTCAAAGACATGACTCCATACTTGCATTAGATCCTCTGAAGCTGGAGATACAGTTGGTTGTGAGCTGCCTGACATGGATGCTGGGAACTAAATGGGTCCTCTGGGATAGTAATTTTTTTGTAGCTGTTGTTTTTTTTGTGTGTGTGTGTGTGTGTGTGTGTGTGTGTGTGGAGGGGTTTCGAGACATGGCTGGCATGGAACTCACTCTGTAGACCAGGCTGGCCTTGAATGCACAGAGATCCACCTGTCTCTGCCTCCCGAGTGCTGGGATTAAAGGTGTGAGCCTCCAACACCTGGCTGAGAACATACAACTGCTGAACCATCTCCCCAGCCCCTTAATCCAAGCTTCTTTAGTTGGAGCTGCAGGAAATGTCTTTGCTTAAAGCCCGCGCGTGCGCGTGCGCGAGCGTGTGTGTGTGTGTGTGTGTGTGTGTGTGTGAGTGTGTGTGTGTGTGTGTGTGTGTGTGTGTGTGTGTACATATGTACTCAGTTCTCTGGGAAAAGTTCACAGCTTTATCTCTAGCAGTGGTTTGTGAATTAAAGAGTAACGTTCCCCAGTTTAAACATCAAAGTTTAAGCCCTGCCCTTAAGTCTCAATGATCACTGATGTGCATTTCAGAGGGGAGGCTGGAGAGTTCTTTCCAGGACACTATTTGGTAGCAGGAGCCAGGTGCTGAGCCGGAGGGAGGGGGTGGGGGTGCAGGCGGCAAATGCCTTCTACAAAAGACCCAGGGCAAGCCAAGGAAGACCCTCTCAAACAATGAAACTAAATAGCTCGATTGTGGTGGTGCATCCGAGTTCCCTGCACTCAAAAAGCCAGAAGCAGGATTGCCTCAGGTTCAAGGCCAACCTGGAATGAAACCATAGCCCAAAAACCAGAGAGAAGGTATCACACACAGTGTGATACTTCTTTACTTCAAAGAAAGTAAAAATATAAATTATTAAAAAAAAAAGATGTGATAGTCAAATATCTCAGTTGTGGAGGGAAGGCCACCTCAGAGACACAGATGTGATGCCACAGAATGGCATCAAAGTACCTGAGCCAGCCAAGGCCCTGGACGAAGCACACGGAAAATAAGGTTTCTCAGATTACTCGATGTCAGGGTCCAAGCTCATTCGGGTTCCTTCATCTGCCTCCTCCTCTCATCCCAAACACCCTTTCCCGGTGCAAAGGTAAAAGAGGACGAAGAACTAACACGATGAAAGAGACCAGCGGGGCAGTGGTGACACACGCCTTTAATCCCAGCACGGGGGGGGGGTAGAGGCAGATGGATCTCTGTGAGTTCGAGGCCAGCCTGGTCTACAGAGGGAGTTCCAGGACAGGCTCCAAAGCTACACAGAGAAACCCTGTCTGGAAAAAGTAAGAATTAAAAAAAAAAAAAAAAGTGATCACCAGATAGATACATGCTGGGCTGGCCAGAACCTGCCAAGAACTATGGAGACAACACCAGCATGTCCAGTCTGTGTCACCCCGCACCTTCTCTTCTGACTCATCAAACGTTCTCAAGTGACAGGTCCCAGGGTGGCTTTGACCTCGACCACACCTCCCTTGGCCTTCAAGAAGAAATTCAAGCATGCACAGCTCAAATCGAGAGAGTCTGATTTCCAATGTCCAAGGAAGAAAGGGAAAGAGAAACCACAGATTGGGCCCAAAAGGTGGAGAGAAAGAGTAGGTGATGCCGGGAAGAGTAGAGAAAAGAGAATCTTGACCTCTACTCTGGCGAGCGACTTAAGCCACCAGGAATCCAAGAGACCCAGGCAAGCGATGCAAGCGACACGCCTTTCCAATGGCCCGCGGGGGGGGGGGGGGCAAGCACTGGGGAAGAGCGGTTGACAGCCACTGAGTTCCACCTCTAGGGCCTCAGCCTTCCTCCTGGGACCTGAGAAGTTCGGGAATACACGAGGAGACTGGACAGGAGCAGTTTAAAGCCTGCTGGTCCTGCGTTCAAGACACTTTTACCTTCGACTCCCATCTTGTCACACGCAGCACTAAGCCAAGTGACTGACCCGATTTACCCTCTTCTGGGCCTCGCTTGCCCTGCCCCGTCAGAAGCGTCCAAGACAGTTTCTGCCGCACGAGATTATCGGGAGGGAGACCAGACGCCCGGAACCGCGAAGCAAACGCCCACCCAACGCAGAGCAATTATTCTCAGGGCTCTATCTGGGAAGGGGGCTCAGGAAACCACCCCCGCTGGCCTCGCTCACCGCCCCGCACCCCACCCGGCCGGCGCCCCGGGTCCTCCCCCGCCGCGACCCACCCACTCCCTCCAGCCCCGCCTCCGGCCGTTACCACCCCTTCCCCCAGCGCTCCATCCACTTCCTTCTCTACCGCGTCCCGCCGCCCACCACCCCGTGGCCGACACCCGCCCTCCCGTCTCCCCCGGAGCCTCCAGGATCCCTCCGCCGTGTTTTCACCTCTCGGTGTTGTTGACGATCACTCCGCCACCCTCCGAGTGGTTCTTGTTGAGCGCCATGGTCTCTCCCACTGGGGTCCCGAGACTCGCGATGCTCTGCGCCTGCGCCGGCCTTTGGCCCGTCTCCAGTGGCGTCGTTCGTATTACCGCCAGCCAATCATAAGCTCCTGCGCGTAGGCGGACCAACCACCTGATCTCCGATGTCACGTGGCGAGAGTTTACTCCCGCTTCCCCCGGCCCCCCCCCCAAGTTGCACCTGCATCACAAACAAGCCGCGGACTACGATTCCCAGCAGGCAATGGTCCCGCAAACCGCGACCTCTCCTTGCGTTGAGTGATGATTGCATTCTGGAACTTGTAGTCTTTTTTTTTAAACTAGAGGCCAGGCTTGCGACGCTAGTTACGAAACCTTAAAACAGCTGTACGCGTCTCGGAAACCAGCCTCCTCACATTAAGCAAACTCAGTGGGAGAAATGTAACGTAAACGTGATGGCCCTGGTGTGCGCGACGTTTAAAAGTCACTCCGCGAGCCGCCTTCGTCTTCCCAACTGACCTGAGTGGTTCGCCCGTTTACACTTGGGTGTGCGAGACGCAGTCCCGTCTAGGGTGGGCTGGAAGAGTCCGAGCAAAATACGCTTTAAGCAGCTCAAACCCTGACCCCTCGAGTCGGACTGTGTGAACTGGGGAGAGTGGTCCGCTGCCCCCCGCCGTCTTCCCCCGCCGGCCACGCGATGGCGCTGCTGCCCTCTAGTCTAGCTCGCAGCCCTGCGCTGGAAGAGTTATTCCACAGCGGGGTTTAAACAAGGCAGAGTGAGGCCAGCGGCCGGCTGGGACTTTCAAAACACCGCTGCCCGGTTTCAGCTTGCGACCCGGCACTGGGTGCCTCCCCACTGAACTCCCTCTGAGATGGCTCCTTCGCAAGGATTGCGGGAGGCCCGCACTACCCTTACCCTTGGGAGAGCAGGGTTTGCTTCGAGGCAGACAGCATAGTTAGTGGCTCACACCCCAGCATTTGGGAGGCGGAGGCAGGAAGTTGCGCCAAACTGGGGAGGTCAGCTTCGGTTGCTTAATGATTTCCAGTCCAGCGTCGGCTAGAGTAAGACGTTCTTCTTAAACAACAACAAAGTGGTGGTGGTAGGGTGTGTGTGTGTGTGTGTGTGTGTGTGTGTGTGTGTGTGTGTGTGTGTGTGTGTGTCTGTGTCTGTGTCTGTGTGTCTGTGAGTATGAATAGAGATGGCTCAGCAGCTAAGAATGAAGGGACCTGAGACTGGTTTCCAGCGCTGAGGTCAGGCGGCTGACGTTCTCTTGACTCATATATACATGCACATACCAACATAGATGCCCACACACACACATCCTTAAGAAAAAACGATGAAAATACGTACTTTTATTTTCTTTTCATTTTGTGTATGTAGCCGTCTGTCAGCACGCATGGATGTGAACCCCAGTGTGTGCGGGAGCCGCAGGAGGACGGAAGAGGGTATCGGATCTCTTGGAGCTCAGTTCCAGACGGTTGTAACTGTTGCATGGGTGCCAGCAACCAACTCCGTGTCTTTTGCAATGACAAGTGCTCTTGGCTGCCGAGCCGTCTTTCTGGTCTCATAAAGTAAATCTTCTTTCTAAAAAATACAATCCAATTCTATATGGTAATATACAGAATGGTGAAGAAATACACATTTATTTGCATAAAAATGAGATACTGATAGAAAGTCTCAGGCAGGAATTGCAGCACTATTCCTTTGAGACACAGTTTTGAGAATTTGGGGGGTGACTCAGGGCAAGGGAGTCTTTTGTAATCTTTAGTTTTTTACTAGGTACACTATGATAAAAGTCAAAATGGCTACAGATTTTTATTTATCTATCTATTTATTTATTTATTTATTGGTTTTTCCAGACAGGGTTTCTCTGTGTAGCTTTGGAGCTGGTCCTGGAACTCGCTCCATATACCAGGCTGGCCTCGAACTCACAGAGATCCACCTGCCTCTGCCTCCCGAGTGCTGGGATTAAAGGCTGCACCACCACCGCCCGGCGACTCCAGGCTTTCTTGTGCATTATGCAAAGCACTCTACCAGACTGGACTGAGTCCCCAGCCCCAGGGTTTTGGTTTTGGTGCAATGAAGTAACCAGGAATCAGAGGTGAGAGGACTGCTGAAAATGTGAGCCCTGCTCTTTGTTCATAAGAGGACTGCTGAAAATGTGAGCCCCTGCTCTTTGTTCACAAGAGGACTGCTGAAAATGTGAGCCCCTGCTCTTTGTTCACAAGAGGACTGCTGAAAATGTGAGCCCCTGCTCTTTGTTCACAAGAGGACTGCTGAAAATGTGAGCCCTGCTCTTTGTTCACAAGAGGACGGCTGAAAATGTGAGCCCCTGCTCTTTGTTTACTTGTTGAATTCCCAGCCATCCAGGTCTACATACAGTAACCCTGTCTCAAACCAACCAGCAAACAAAAAAACCCAAGCCAGGTGTAGTGCCTTTAATCCCAGCACTCAGGAGGTAGAGGCAGAGTCAGGAGGTTCTCTGTGAATTTGAAACCAACTTGGCCTACAAAGCGAGTTCCAGGACAGCCAGGACTGTTACACAGAGAAATTCTATCCCAGAAAACAAAACAACAGCAACGAAACCAAAACAAAGTAAAATAAAATTAATAGCTGGTCCCAGCACTCTGGAGGCAAAAGAAGGCAGATCTCTGTGAGTTCAAAGTCAGCCTGGTCTACAGAGGTCTAGGACAGCCAGAACCACATAGAGAAACTATTGTTTCAAACACAAACACAAAACAAAAACAAAAGAATAAAGGGCTAGGGAGATGACTAAATGTTTGCTGCTCTGGGGGGGGGGGGACACACGGGACGGGACAGAGTTCAGTTCCCAAGCAAGTCAGGTGACTCATGATGGCCTATAGTCCACTCCAGTGAATCTGATACCCTCTTCTGGCCGCCGCCACCACAGGTACCTGCACTGAAATTCGTGCTCTCACAAGCACACACACATGCACACACATGATAACAGTAAATAAAAAGAGAAAAATCTGGACCTAAAAGTTGTTCCTGAGACTTGTGGGCAGACTGTCAGGAGGAAGGTCTCTGGGGAGATATCATCTCAAGAACTGAGTCACTGAAAGGTTTCTAGACTCAAGTCATATCTTGCTTTTATGGTTGTTGTTGTTGTTTTGTTTTTTGAGACAGGGTTTTTCTGTGGCTTTGGAGGCTGTCCTGGAACTAGCTCTTGTAGACCAGGCTGGTCTCACACTCACAGAGATCAGCCTGCCTGTGCCTCCCGAGTGCTGGGACTAAAGGCATACGCCACCACCGCCTGGCTTCAAGTCATATCTTGCAATGTTTGACATTCACTGAAGTTACCAGTTTTGTCTCTTGTCATGGACTGGACAGAAAAGTTATAAACAGCCTTGTTTGGGCTAGTTTCCAGCCAAATGACTCAATGCTTCCTTGACTGGATTGTTGGATTGGTCCAGCAAGACCAGTGTTTCCTGGTTTACACTTGTGTTCCTCAGAGATAGGAATATCTATAGGTAGACATGTCTTTGCTTTATTCCAACATCCTCTTAAATTTTTTTTTCTGAGACAGGGTTTCTCTGTATTGTTTTGGAGGCTGTCCTGGAACTCGCTCTGTAGACCAGGCTGGCCTCGAACTCACAGAGATCCGCCTGCCTCTGCCTCCCGAGTGCTGGGATTAAAGGTGTGTGCCACCATATCTGGCTCCCTGTTTATAATTTGTTGCTTTACATTTTAAAATATTAACTAGGTTTGTGACTGCAGTTCTGGCATTCAGGAGGCTGAGGCAGGAAGATCATGAATTTCAAGCAGTCTGGACAACATAGTAAGCATCCATCTTTAAATATTAATGGTAAACTTCAAAAGGAAGAGGAAAACCTACACAGCTACGCAAGAGTAACTATAAAAGGAAAAGGACTCCTGTCCAGCCCCTTCTCATCCCCAGCCCTACATGGAGTCAGACGCAGAGCCTGGCTTTGTGGGTCTCAGGCTCATGCAGTTTTGGAGGTCCTATTGAAGAAATACAATATACTACTCAGAATAGAGCCCTTCACAAAGCCAGGCTGGGACCTCCTGACGGGAAATGTTATGGAGAGGAAGTCATGGTGTTAGAGATAGCAGGCTTAATCGGCTAAAACGTCCAACATTGCGAGTTTTAGAAAAACAGATGGCCATGTGACACATTAAACAAAACCAAACAAACCGGAGAGGGATTAAGGGGGGAGGGGGAGGGGGACAGAGGGGGAGAAGGAGGGGGGCGGGTCTTGTAAACTGGGCTTTCAGCCCATCACAGCAGTCTCAGCATCTGATAGGAGAGTTGGCAGAACCAGGGATTCCAGAACATCTTGAGCAGTATGAGACCTTGTCCCCACTAACAAACAGCTAACCATAGAACGTGGCCTGCTGTGTTGCCCAGGCTTGCTGCCAACTCCTGGGTTTAAATGGTCCTCTTGCCTGCTGGAGTAGCCATGACTGTCAAGTGCAGGCCGCTGTGCCCAGCCTCACAAGCAAACAGGGAGCCTGGGAAGAGCAGTCAATCAGCATGATGAGGTTTGTAGTGGGTATGGCTCTGCGCATGACCTCGGAAAGATGGAAATTACTCAGAGAGTCTGGACTATGTATATGATTGTGTTTTCTTTATGATTTTTTTGTTTGTTTGTTTGTTTTTCCCAAGACAGGGCTTCTCTGTGTAGCTATGGCAAGACAAAATATAGCTAGGGCAGGGAAACCCAAATAGATATACAGGAGAGGGTCGGGGTTGAGAGGAATGTAAGCCAGTCACCCAAGGAGAGAGATACCAGGAGCAGCCTAAGGAGAAAGATGCCAGACCAGAGGTAACACCAAGGCCACGTGGTGATACACCGATTAGTAGAGATGGGTTAATTTGTAAGAGAGAGATAGACAGTAATAAGCCTGAGCCATCAGCCAAGCAGTTATATTTAACATTAGCCTGTCAGTGATTATTTCATAAGTGGCTGCTGGACAGGTGGGAGAGAAACTGGTCCAGCCAGACCAGGTGAGACAGAGAACAACTCCCATTTGCATGGTAATAGACGCCAAGCTCACGGAGCACTCTAGAAGGACCTATCCATCACATTGACTTTTTGATTTTTATTAACTTGTGTGGGTGAGTGAGTACCATATTGTATAGGTAGAAGGCAGGGGACAAATTTTGGAAGCCAGTTTTCTCCTTTCATCATGTTGGTCCCAGGTGTAGGGAAAAGGGACCAGTTAAAGAAACACCCTGAGCAGAGCCAAAGAAACACACGTTGACCCTGCAACCAGAACTAAAGAAATGCACCCTGACCCTGAAACCAGTGCCAAAGGAACACACTTTGTCCTTGGAATCACAGTCAGTGAAAGAAATGCACCCTGACCCTAAAATTAAAGCCAAAAGTCTAAGAAGAACCAGAGAATGAAACACACTTTGGCCCTGAAACCGGAGCCAAATCTGACCCTAATCCTATGCAGAAAACTAACCAATCCCTGAGCAGAGCTCTAGCCAATCTGAGCTCAGCACTGAAATCTGACCAATCCCCACCCTGGAAACCCTATATAAACCCTGTGTCTGTTCAGCTTGTGTCTGTTCTTCCCTTCCAATAAACCCCTTGGATGAGCTTTGGGTGAAGATCTTCTTTTGCAGCAGAGACTGAGCAGAGCGAGCAGGGCTGTAACACTTGCCTGGGAAACCTTCCCTTGGCAGAGCTGAGTTGAGAGCTGAACTGTAGAAACTTCTCCCAAGAAACCTCTTGCCTAGCAAAATTGCTACACTGGGCGAACATCCTCAGCTGGAAGACCCTGTCCTGCGGGAGCTGAGCTGATACACTGGGGAGGCCTTTCTCTGAGCCTGAAATGCTTACACCAGGCTGGTTGGCCAATGCCTTTACCTGCTGACCTACTTTCCCTTTTGTGTGTCTGTGTTTTGACTTTTGTTCTTTGAGACAGGGTTTCTCTGTGTATCCCTGGCTGTCCTGGAACTCTCTCTGTAGACCAGGCTGGCCTCTAACTCAGAGATCCGCCTGTCCCTGACTCCCAGGTGCTGGGATTAAAGGTGTGCACCACCACCGTCCTGCTGCTGCTTTCCTTTTTAAATAGTCTCTGTAGCCCAGGCTAGCCTGGTCCTCAATATTTAGCCTATCCTAGCCTCGAACTCAAGTCCTCCTCCCTCAGCCTCCTGATTGCTGAGAGTACAGGGAGACACCACCACCAGAAGTTTGCTGTTTTTCTTTGTTTTAAAGAATTATTATTTTAATGTGTATGTGTGTGGGCCTCCATGAATTTATGTGTGCAGAACCCATGGAGGCCAGAGGAGGGCTTTGGGTCACCTGGAGCTGGAGTGACAGGCAATGTTGTGACTGGTTGATGTGGTGTTGGGACCAAACCCAGACCCCCTACAAGAGCAGTCAGTGCTCTTGAGCCCTGAGCCATCTCTCCAGCTCCTGGGAAAGACGTTTTATAGGATCTGAGAATTGTCAGAGAGCCACGGTTAGGCCAGAGGTCACTGGGCTTCTGACCAAATACAGCTGGTCGATGGGTAGAAAACTGATTTCCTAGAACAATTGTAATTCCGTTTCAGTTTATCTAAAACTATTTCAACATTTTATCATGAATGTTATTTTTTCCCAGAAGGAGACTATGAATTGCAACAGCTAAAAAGCAAAACAATAAAAACACTGTTCTACGAGTTCTAGGACAGGCTCCAAAGCAATACAGAGAAACCCTGTCTTGAAAAAAACAAAAAAACAAACAAACAAAAACCACTGCTCTAAGCCAAGTTTGGTGATCTATTTTTTCTCTTTTCCCCCTTTGGACATTGTTTGTTCCTTTTGAAGTAAACTAAAGGAGAAAGGGAAGATTGTAGAGGATAAAATTGAGGAATTGGGTCCTTGGTCCATGTGACTCTTTGACATTTAGGGTCCAAGAGTAAGCACGCTCAGGCAACGTGACTTAGCTCATCCTTAACTTTCTGGTGGCAGGCAGGAGGACCAAGACGTACAGGTCAGTTTGGGTTACTGAGCATGGAAAAAAAATCACAATATGTCTTCCCCCCACACACACTAAGAACATAGATCGTGAGGCTGGCGAGACAGTCTGGTGGTTAAGAGCACTTCCTGCTCTTCTAGGAGCCTTGTGTTGGAGTCCCAGCACACACATCTGTAACTCCAGTTCCAGGAGATCGGATGCCCTCTTCTGGCTTCTGTGGGTACTGCATAGATGTGGTGAACAAATATTCAAACACATACATAAAATAAAGTGGAAAAGGGAAGAAGACAGGGTCACAGCCCTGTGACCCCAGCTACTTGAGAAGTTTGGGAAGCAGAAGGATTGTAAACTCGGGGCTACGAGCTTAGGTAACTTAACAAGACCCTGCCTTAAAATAAAGATTATCAAGCCGGGAGTTGGTGGCGCACGCCTTTAATCCCAGCACTCGGGAGGCAGAGGCAGGCAGATCTCTGTGAGTTCGAGGCCGGCCTGATCTACAAAGTGAGTTCCAGGACAGCCTCCAAAGCTACAGAGAAACCCTGTCTCGAAAAAACCAAAAAAAAAATTATCAAGAGGGGTCATAGTATAGCTTAGTGTTAAAGAGTGCTTGCCTACTATATATAAGGCCCTGAGTTCAAATCCCTAATAACACCAAAGAAAATAATAACAAAATTATGCCTTTTTCTAGTTCTTAGGGCAGTCTCATGGATTCTCCAAACTTTTTTTTTTTTGTAGACAGGGTCTCATGTAGCCCAAGTGGGCCTGGAAATCCCTTTGTAGCCAAAAGTGACCTCAAATCTGGGTTTCTCTTGTGCCCACTTCCTGAGTGCTACGGTTACAGGCATGTGTCACCATACCCACTACCCACTTTTGATTTGGCTTGTTTTTGACACAGGCTCTCGATATGTAGCTTAGGCTGACCTCAGACTCGAACCCTCGAACCGTCCTCTGTCTCCTCGGTGCTGGACCACAGGCATGCTCCTTCAGCTCGGGGCTTTTCTCGCAGTCTGTTTTCAGGGCTGGTTGAACCCAAGCTGCCACATACTCAGCAGGCACAAGGGCCCAGGCTTTTGTTGCGGAGCCAAGGCCTGTTGGTGAATGGCTTGGACTGAAGAGGATTGGGGGGCTGGTTTTTGGGGGCCACTAGTGCTTCAGGTCCCCGTCTTGCTCTCACACTAGCTATCTGAGCAGGGAGAATTTGTGTAAAGAATTAACTAGGAGCTGGGTGTGGTGACACGCACCTGTAATCCCAGGATTTGAGAGGGGGAAGGATTTTGAGATTGAGGCCAGCCTGGGCTGCTTAGGTATCAGAAATAGAAAAAGAAATAAGCAGAAAGCATTCTGGGGCGCAGAAAGACAGCAGGCACCACCCGAATGCCTGGAAGACCAAAGGGAATGTTGGGTTTCCCACAACATGGAACCTTGCAGGAGGAAGCAGAGGGGTCTATCAGCCATGACAGGTGCCTGAGCCCCGGGCCCCGGAGTGTCTGATGCTGCTCAGGGTGTAGCGTCTGCAAGGGCTGGAAAAAGCAAAGCCTGGATCCAACAGCTGCTGGGGAACTGCACCGGCGCCGGTGAAGGCGGGGGGGGCAGTGAGTGGGAGGGAAACAGCCACCCTGCCCCAGCCCCCCAGGTCTTTTCAACAACCCCTTTCAGCGGAGAGGGGAGAGAAGCAATGGGCAGTGGAGGCTCGGGGCTGTAATGGGGCTCGCAGAGACTCACCCGCAGCTGCAGGGGGCAGTTCAGCAGGTGCGTATTATGGGCTGCATTGTGTAAGGTCACCCGCAGCTGCCATCACCGCCGCCCCCCATCCCTGCCGCCCAAATACATGCTAGAGTCTTAACCCTTCATCTTTGACCTCGTTTGGAAATAGGACTGTGAAAGACATTCTGAAATGAGACCAGTAGGTGGCCCTAATTTATGTGGTCGTTGATTTCAGCTGTTAACTTGATGGGGCCTAGACTCACCTGAGGGGTTATAGAGGAGGCTCAGCAGTTAAGAACAGTGATTTTTCTTCCAGTGGACTAGGGTTTCCTTTCTTTTCTTTCTTTCTGTTTTTGGTTTTTCGGGGTTTTTTTTTTTTTTTTTTTTTTGGTTTTTTAAGACAGAGTTTCTCTGTATTGTTTTGGAGGCTGTCCTGGAACTTGCACTGTAGACCAGGCTGGCCTCGAACTCACAGAGATCCTCCTGCCTCTGCCTCCCGAGTGCTGGGATTAAAGGCGTGCGCCACCAATGCCCAGTTTAGGGTTTGTTTTCAGCATCTGGTGGCTCACAACTGTCAGTAACTCCAGTCCTGGGTCATCTGATGCCCTCTTCTGGCCTCTTTGGGCACTGCATACATGTAGTGTACAAACATACATACAAGCAAAATACCCATACATACACATAAAACAAAATAGCCATATAAAATTAGAATTGCCTGGAAGATGGCCCTCTACTCATGGCTTTAGGGATTTTTCTTATTTGGGTTAATGAGGTGTGAAGCCCCGTCCATTGTGGGTGGCATCATTCCCTGGACTGGGACCCTGAACTGTGTAAAACAAGAAATGGAACCAAGGACAAGCATTCAACACTCGTTGCCTTAAATTTTTTTTTTATTTTAAAAACTGTGTTTATTTAGTGTGTGCACCCGTACATGTGTGGAAGTCAGAGGATAGCTTCTGAGACTCGGGGTCCTCCTTCCAACACAAGTCTTGGGGATACAGTTGGGTCATCCGGCTTGGAGACTAGTGCCTTCATCTGCTGGGTGATTTTCTTATTTTTATTATTATATTTTCTTATAATATTTTTACATACCAATCCCAGTTCCCTCTCCCTCCCATCTTCCTAGTCCCCCCATCAGCCCCCCTACTCCCCTTCCACTCCTCAGGGAGGGTGAGGCCTCCCATGGGGGATCATCAAAGTCTGTCATATCATTTGGGGCAGGACCTGATCCTCCCCCCCCCCAGTGTATCTGGGTTGACAGAGTATCCCTCTATAGGAATGGGCTCCCAAAGCCCATTCATGCACTAGGGATAAATTCTGTGACACTCTCAAGGCCCCCATAGACTGTCCAGCTCCCCACAATTGACTCCCACATTCAGGGGGCCTGATTCTGCTGGACGATTTTATCTGCCTGCTTCTTTTTTTTTTAAAAAAAGTATTTGGATGTGTTTATTTTATATATATGACTGTTTTGCTTGCATGAATGTATATATGTGCACCACACACCTTCCCGGTGCCCTCTGAGGTCAGAAGAGGCCACTGGGTCTCCTGGAACTGGAGTAAGCATGTGGGTGCTGGGAATTGAACCCAAGTCATCTGGAAAAACAAATCTAAGCTGCTGAGGCAGTGCTCCAGCCCTCAGCTTACTCCTTGTTTGTGGATGCAATGTGACCGTTGCCTCGGGTTCCTGCTGCTGTAACTGCACCACCGCGATGGATTGTTAGCCAAAAACAAAGAAGCAAAACCCTTTCTCCCTTGTAGCACGATAAATAAAAGACCCAGAGACTGATATTGGGGTTCAAGCTTCCAGCTGAAGATCAGAGAAGCAAAGCAGACAAGCCAGTAGATCTTACCTCTACCCAGCTGACATGGCCGTCCTGTCTCCAGGAATCCTCAGAGGCAAAGGCTCTCACCAAGCCTCAGACTGCTGCCTCTTCTCAGTGTGGCTGGAGAAGAACCCCGAGACTGAATGCCTCTACCTTCTATTCCTCTCAGATCCTGGCATGAAATGTGTGCCTGGCTTCTGTGTCTAAGAGTGAGGCTGCTCTGCTATTTTGATCTCCAGTGGTTTTAGTAGATCATAAACAATGTATCACCACACTCCATTAAGGTGCTTTAGATACAGCAACAGGAAATCTAAGACACCTTCCAAGAAGGGAACCTTAAACACAGACCCTCACAAGAGAGAGCACCAGGCAAAGATCAAGGCAGGGGAGGGGGGGAGGGGGGAAGCTGGGGGGGGGGAGCAACCAACCAAGGGCTGTGGATTGCCAAACACGGTCAGCAAACCACCTACCAGACGCTAGGAGAATGACATGGTTATAGTCCCTCCTACACCCTTGAGAAGGAACAAGCCTCAACAGTCTTCCACCCCGTGAGGAATACGTTTGAATTAAGTCCCTGGACTTGGAGCACTTTGTAAGCACCGTCAAGGTATCCTGGCAGTCGGGAGCCGAGGAGTACCACAAAGTCACAGTAAGCATAGCAGCCACAGCCCTGCTCCAGAGAAAGTTTCCCCAGTTTCACAGTTCTGCTCCAGCAGGGGAGGGCTTCCCCAGGAAGCAGTTACAGTTACACTCAGGTCCCCTGAGTGTAGGAGTGTAGTGTTAACAACTCCTCTTGGCTTGGGGAAGGTTTCCCCAGGGAAAATGTTACAACCCTGCTCCCATCTGCTCTACTCTGCCCAGCTACAGGGAAAGATGCTACTTCTCTCCTCCATTCCATTGGACGAAGGAAGGTCTCACCCAAACCTCATTCAAAAGACTTATTTGGAGGGAACAATCCAGGAGGGCAGCCGCCTCTGCCAGTGTAGAAAAGGCAATGGCAAGTAACAGGCAAGGGCTTACACGGGGCTTAGAGTTTTTCCAGGGTGAAGATTTTCAGGGTGGGAATTGTTGGATTTCAATCCCTGAGCTTTGACAAGCTCAGAGATTGGCTGGATTTCATGCTTAAGGATTGGCTGGTTTCCTGCTCAGGGATTGGCTAGTTTTTTAATGAGTTGGTCAGGGGCAGAGTGTGTTTCTTTCCCTGGCCCTTTTTAACTTTCTGGTTCTGGGTTCAGGGCCAGGGTGTGTTCCTTTGGCTGGCCCTACCCTACACTCTGCTGCGGTGGCCTTACTAAAGTAGCACTATGGGCTTGGGAGCTGAGACACAACAATCTGGTATCATCCTGAACCCTGGCTTGTAGTCAGAGTTCCCTTTGGGCCCCCAGCTCACAAACAGTGATACAGAGACTTATTAATAATTATGAAAGTGTGGCCTTAGCTTAGGCTTTTCCCAGGAGCTCTCATAACTTAGATTAACCGGCGTCTATTAATCTACATCCACCACGTGGGTTTTTACCTCGCTTTCATTCTGCATGTCTGACTCCCTCTGGGTCTTGTTGGCATCTCTCTGGCATAATTCTCACGCCCGGATTCCTCTTCCTCTCTCTCCCCAGAAATCCACGTATCCTCCCTGCCTATTGGCCATTCAGCTCGTTATTACCCCAATCACCGCAGCGCTGTCTTCACACAGTGTACAAATATCCCACCACGCACAGGAGTGTGGGAGTGGCCACGGTGCAGAGCACCATGAAAGAAACCGAATTCCCGGTAAGGCTTCCGCCTCCCGGCCCTCTGGCCGAGCTGAGGTGGAGTGGCAGTGTGGACCTGAGCTATTTCAGGGGGAGGCCTTTTTTGGCCACATGTATTTGAGGAACACCAGGTCCCTGCCGCTTCGTCAGAAGGCAGGGCCAGCACATGTTGCAGACTCTTCCAGGTTGCTATGGAGAGGAGCCCCACCCTTGGGCTCCCAGCCTGGACCTCTGTCCAGTTCCAAATCCCCAGGCACGGCTTCGGGGTTTGCTCTGATGGAGGAGTGTTTATGCAAACCTCTGCTGTCCACTTTTAGTCCTGTGCCTCCCAAGCCCCAGAAATCCAGAGAGGCAAGTTACTTCCAAAGATGGCTCCAACACCAGTACTGAGGAGTCAGGGCAAAGGGACGAGGATTGCCACAAATTCAAGGACAGCCTGGGATAGTGAGACTCGTGTGTGTGTGTGTGTGTGTGTGTGTGTGTGTGTGTGTCACAGGAAATGACCAAAGTAGAACTTTTAAACTTATTTTTATCCATTTATTTGTGTGAATATATAATATGCATGTGTTCCTGTGTGTCTGTGCGCAGGAGTGTACTGGTATACATGTGTATTCATGTGTCCAGGCCAGAAGTTGATATCAGGTGTTTTTCTGAAACAGGGTTTCTCCCTGAGCCTGGAGCTCACTGATTTAGCTGGGCAGATGAACCACACTGGGATTTCCGGCACTCCCTGGTGCTGGTTTTTCACATGGGCGCTAGGATCCAGCCTCAGATTCTAATGTTAGCATGGGAAGAACTTCTCTGTCCAGCCTCTGAACTGGGACCTTTTAGTTCCACAATTTCTGGTATTGAGATAAACATGTCATCTTGTCCTCTGCTAAGCATACACTCTGTCACCGAGCTATGTCCCTATTTCAACTTTCTGATTCCAGAACTCAGAGTTCTTCACTACTGGGGAAAGGGAAGGAAGTTAAGGGGGAAGGAAGGAAGGAAGGAAGGAAGGAAGGAAGGAAGGAAGGAAGGAAGGGAGGGAGGGAGGGAGGGAGGGAGGGAGGGAGAGAAGGAGGGAGGGAAGGAGGGAGGGAGGAGAGAGAGAGGGAAGGGGACAAAATTGAAGGGAAGAAAAAAAGGTGTGGATCTAGTCACTTTGTGTGACATTTTGGATGAGAAGCTCCCATTGTGGGGAGCGGATAAAGACCTGAGCAGCTGTATATTGCTGACTTAGACACAGCCATGTCAGGGACTCTGGTCCCTCAGATCCATGGAAACTGACAAACCAAAGCCTTCTCTGGGTAGGCGCATGGCTCTGGCCTTCCTCTCACAGATGCTTGCCATCACCCCCAGCCTCCTCCTGGGACGGCCACAGCCTAGGACCACACCCACGGAAGCCTCCTACAGTGAGCGGCTGGGCCTCAGCTGTGTCCCACAAGCCCACTGCCTCCATTCAGATGCACAGAACAAACCCTCGGAGTTCCTGGCAGGCCCTGTCTGGTGGTGTGTCTCTGTGAGAGTGCAGGGCCCACCTGATGTCAGCTTTTCAGTGGGTGAGTCTGTGTGCCTGTCCTTCCTTCATTCCCTCATTGCCCCAGAACCAAGCCCCAAAGGACTCAGCCTTCCAAAATGTTTGCACACTTGGTTAGAGGCAGGCGCTGCCTTGTGGGCAGCTTGGGCGGTGTGGCCCTGTCCCTGTCGGAAGTATGTCACCAAAGGTGGCCTTTAGAAGTTCAATGACTCGCTGGGCATTGGTGGCGCACGCCTTTAATCCCAGCACTCGGGAGGCAGAGGCAGGCTGATCTCTGTGAGTTCGAGACCAGCCTGGACTACCAAGGGAGTTCCAGGACAGCCTCTAAAGCCACAGAGAAACCCTGTCTCGAAAAAAAAAAACCCAAAAAAAAAAAAAAAAAAAAAAGAAACGAGGGGGAATAGTTCTGGGAAGTTTGAATCATTACAGTATCAATTTAAAAAGTTACTTAAAGAACATGGGACTACAGTTAAGTCTAAAACCCTAGAAGGCTTTCTAAAATCGATGGAACGAGCCAGTCCATGGTTCATTACTGGGGGAAGCTTAAATATCCCAGATTGGGAGGAGGTTCGCCATGATCTTCATCGACTTTTACGAAAAGGGGGATCTGAGTCCTTGCCCCCTACTATATTCTCCTTATGGAGATTAGTGAGGGGAGCACTTTTGACCGATAAGGTTCGTCATCGCCAGGTAGTTCAGGCCACAAAAGAGGCTTTTTTAGAGTTATAAAAGACTGAGACTCAAGCCTCCTTGAGTTCAGGGGCAGAGAGTGATGATGAATCATCTGAAGGGACCCTGACTGAAACTAGAGGCTCCATTGTTAGTGAGGATGAAGGGGAGTCTCTTAGCAACAACAAAAAAATGGGTAGAGATCTCCGGGTGGGACCCAAAAAGAAGGACTCCGGTCAGAATCGGTTATATCCTTCTCTGTCAGACCTAGAAAATGGGAGTAGCTCAGACTCAGACTCGTCAGAGTCTGAGAAGGAACAGTTCTTGCTGAGATCGTGGCCCTTAAAAATGAACTAAAAAAGACTCAAATTAAGGAAAGACAGGACAGGGAGAGAAACCCTTCCCCATACTCTGAAAAAAGGGACTCCTCCTATGAGATAACCCAGTCCTTCTTGGACCTGGAGGGACGACCCAGAGGAGGGGTCCAATGCTGCCCAGTGGTGGCCCCAGTAATAGAAGCCCCAGACCCGAACAGTTCTGGACAGGTCATTCGGTGTCATAACCTTTTAAATTTTAAAGACATAAAACAACTTAAAGAGGCAACTTTAAATTATGGAGCGCAGGCTCCCTTTACACTTTCCTTAATGGAATCTTTTGCATCTCTTAACTTGACACCTAGTGATTGGCAGCAGCTTTGCTGAGTGACTCTATCTGGGGGAGATTATTTGATTTGGAGGGGTGAGTTTCAGGAAAAATGCAGCCAGACAGCCGAAAGGAATGCACAGGCCGGACAGCCCCAGAGAAATGTGGAGATGCTTACCGGAAGTGGTCAATATGCCACCATTCAACAACAAATGCAATATGACATCTCAGTCTATGCCCAAGTGGCAGCAGCGGCCCAAGGGGCTTGGAAAGCATTGCCTTCCAAGGAAGGAGGGGATCACCTGTCCAAAGTCCTTCAAGGACCCTCCGAACCTTTTCAAGACTTCGTAAACCGTCTCAGTCAGGTAGCAGAAAGAATATTTGGGGGCATTGGGCCTGCAATGCCAGTCATCAAGCAGATGGCATTTGAAAATGCAAATAAATATTGTAAGGAGGCTCTTCGCCCCTACCGCAACAAAAGTCTAAATGACTACATCCGGATCTGTAGGGACATTGATGGGAACTTCATCCAGGGCCAAGTGTTAGCTGCTGCTATTCGGCCCCAAGTGGGGAAAGAAAGACCTACTCTGGGAGGGAGAAAAACATGTTTCAGCTGCGGTAGGGAGGGACACTTCTGTAGAGACTGCCCTCAAAATAGTACTATCGGTCTCAAGAGACCTGGTTTATGCCCCCATTGCTGAAGGGGATATCATTGGGCCAATGACTGCCACTCTAAAACTGACCGGGAGGGAAATTTCCTTCCTGCTAATAATAATCAGGGACACAGAT